CGGACACTCTTAAGGGGATGGTATGTTAGTTGTGAACCGTAGGATCAATAGGAATGGGATTTAATTGAGTCGAAATGGGGCTGTTTTGTTAAGGGTGGGGACCGAGCTGGATTAAAAGGGGTTTGGGCTGGGGCGAGATTGTGATCAATTGGGTCAACTGAAGTGCTTGGCCCAATACAAATAACAGCCTTGTTTTTTCCTCTCTTTGATTCTTTCTTTTTCTTTGCTTTTAAATTCTAATTAATTTAATTAAAACTCTAAATCAAATCCTAATTCAAACCAAATTTGCAGAATTAAATCTAATTATTAATTTTCTAACAACTAATTAATTTGTTCAAATTTAACAAATGCAAGTAAAATTACTAAAATATTTTGTTTGATCAGTAAGATCAGCTAAAACGTCCTCCTCAGGGATGACAACTGAGCCTTGGGATAGATCTGAATTCAAAAAAGGAAAAAGGGTAAATCAGCTTTCTTGCACGAAGGGGAAAAACGAGATGAGTTTAACCTACCATGATTTTTGACCTTCCACCCATATTTAAGATCTAGTTCCATCCGCGTACGGGTCTCGGGCATAGTAACATCCAAAATCTTTTGGACCCACTGGTCCAAGCCTTCAACCCGCGGTGGAACCCACCGAGTTGCTTAAACAAGTAAAAGAAAAGGAATCAGTAACAACATAGGGTGATCTTTAATTAGAAGAATAGACAAACGATGAACTTACGAATACGGTTCCACAACTCGAGGAAGGATGAAGTCGTGGCCGGAATGGTGTCTTTGGTGGATTCCATCCATCCACGATCGTTGCCATCATCCATGCTGGCAAGCAGAGCATGGTGGCCAAGTTTGCTGAAATTTATCATTCCCCCGCGAAAAATCTTGGGGGAATAAAGGTTCATTAATCGAGCTAGGGTTAGGTCCTCTCCCGTCTCCTGGCACAAACGCCAAAGACAAGCGACTGTCCTCCACAATAACGGAATCAAGCTCCCCGCTCAAAGAGAATGGCCCCGAAGTGAAAGGATACGTATAAAAATATATGTGAAGCACTTCTTGGGTAGGCTTATCCGCTTCGCCAGACCAGGAGCGATAATGTCTAAATCTTGGCAATGGCAGTCTTCCTTCGTAGCAGGAATGCTGGAAAGACGGATGGAAGTAGGGTACACTGATAAGTAGGGATTTTGACCACTTATTTGCACCCTTTTACTTTCGTTTTAGCCCAAAAATGCTTAAAGGTATTCCCGAGAACTGATAAAATGTGTTTACTTGCAGGATTATTGAAAAATAAGTCAAAGAGATGAAAATCAACTCAAGAAGGAGTAATTTTGGACAAAGACTAAAACAAAGCAAAAAAGAGCAAAGTGCCGACCGCACAATATTATGTGCGGCCGAACACTATGAAGAATCCTTTGTCAAATTTGCTATGCAAAGTGCGGACTGCACAATTATAGTGCGGCCGCAGAAGATGAGGTTCAGAGAGATATGATTTTGGTCCACAAAGAAGTGTGGACCGCACTATTATTTTGCGCCCGCAGAGTCAAAAGTGCGGCCGCACTCAGAAATGTGCGGTCCGCAAAAGCCTTCCATGTCAGAGCTCAAACTCAAGAGTGCGGCCGCACTCATAATTATGCGGTCCATAGAATCTGAAGAAGTGCGGCCGCAATCCAGAATTGTGCGGTCACAGAAGTCCATCCTGTCAAGCCAACACCAAAGTGCGGACCGCACACAGAATTGTGCGGCCGCAGAACCTCCGCCTAAGGGCAATTTTGTCCGATAATTTCAGTTGTGTATAAATAGTCCTTTTTGTCAAAATTAGGTTAAGTTGGAACATCAGAAAGTAGATAGCCGTTTTTCCTTTACTGTTTTGGGAAACTTTGTGAAAGTTTATCATTTTAACATTGATCTTTCTTCCCATTATAATTTATTATGAGTTTAATTTTATCTTTTTCTTTTGTTTCTTCTGTTTTCTCTATGAGTAGCTAAATTTCTAGCTAGGGTTGTGACCCAACCCTAGTGTGGGTACCTAATGGGTATTTAATTTAGGGCTTGTTTGTGGTTGGGTTAGTGATTTAGCCTAGTTCTTGCTTGAATTTAAGAATTAATGATTGCAAACATTGATTCATGCCTAATTGACTTAGTCTCTACTTGAGAAAGAGAGACTAAGTCTAGGAAAACTTGGCTAACAAGGAATTGGGGTGAACTTAAGAAATTGATAGCCCCAATCAAAGGGTTGAATCTAGAGATAGTAAGACCCGACTTGAGCATTTATCACCTGTTTTGAGCAATACCCATTTGGACTTGAGAAAGACAAATTGGGCAAAATCACTCTAACTACCGAGAGATATTGAGTGGGTAATTGCATGTGATTGCTATATTATGACCCCGACCAATCAAACTTGCGCTAGAACCTACAACCCGTTAGGTAACAACCTAGGTGGAAGTCACGACCATGGATCTTTTATAAACTTGAAAAACAACAACACCAAAAATATCGTTCTCTAGCTTTTCATTTGCAAACATTAGCATAAACATTAAAAATAGAAAGAAACAACCAAACATGTGGAAGTGCATTTTGGGCACATCGTACACTTAGTCTGGATATATACCTAATCCAATATAAGCTCTCTGTGGAATCGACCCCGACTCACGTTGGGTGATTATAATTGCATCGACCGCTTCACAATCCCAACCAGTGGTGTGAATTTGGGCGACATCAATTTTTGGCGCCGTTGCTGGGGAGCTAAAAACGGATTTAGCTATATATTTGGTTTTGTGTGTATTTGTCTTCTTTTCCTTCCTGTTACTAACCTTTTCGTGAAACAATTATAGGTGATACAATGGCTCTCAATAGCAATGATCCTCTTGGAAACGTGCCATTAGGGGATGACGGGGATGATGACCAAGTTGTGAGGTTCCTCTTGAACCTCAAGGGAATAGACGAGGCCGGCCGCCTCAAGTCAACGTTCCCGCTCCTCCCCCACCTCGTCCAAGAGCGGCGGCACACCGGGTGTTGCCAAATGAAGGCTACACAAGTGCTATAGTCTCGCCCCACATTAGGGCGGGAAACTTTCAAATCACAAATGTCATGCTTACACTATTGGAACAACGGGGATTCTTCATCGGGGCTCCGAGTCAAAATGCATAGAAGCACTTGAAAGAGTTTGTTGACACTTGCTGGGGGAGTAAACAAACCAACGTCTCCAAGGATGCTTTGCGATTGAGGCTATTCCCTTTGTCTCTACGGGGGAAGGCTTTGGATTGGTTAGAGAGGTTGCCAAATCATTCTATCCATACATGGGATGAATTGGCCGAGAAATTCATTTCCATGTTCTTTTCTCCAGGGCATATGGCAATTATTAGGGATGAGATTCTAGCTTTCAAACAAGAACCTAATGAGACTTTGCATGAGATATGGGAAAGGTACCATACTATGGTGAAAGAGTGCCCGAACAATGACATGACAGAGGCTATGATTCAACAAACTTTTTATAGGGGGATCAATACTACCAATCAATGTGTGGTCAACCAACTTGCCAATGAAAATTTCATGACAACGCCGTATGCGGAAGCTTGTGAGATTCTTGATGAGATGGCGGATACTTCATCGGCATGGAAAAGTAGAGCAAACGTTCCTCAAGACGATCCAAATGTGATTCACTTGCATAAGGAATTATATGATCATGGGCAAGAAATTGCCGAGTTGACCACCACAATGAATCAACTAGCCAAAGCTCAACTTCAACAAGTGCAAGGTCCCAAGAAAGCAAATACAATGGAAGGAGTTAGTATGATGGTAAACAAGAGAAGGCAAAAGGTTCAACAAGTGCAAAACCGGGTTGAAAATTATGAGCAAGATGATAGTGAAAATCAAGGAAATTGGAATTCAAGCAATCAAGGCGGTTGAAACAATCAAAACAATCAAGGGAATTGGAACAATCAAGGAAATCAAGGAAATTGGAATGGTCAAAATAACCAAAGCAATTGGAGTGGCAATAATCAAGGCTATTGGGGAGGTAACAGCCAAGGAGGATGGAACAACAACAACCGGGGGTCGGGTTTTCAAAGGCCTCCGATGTTTCAACAATTGAGCAATCCACCTCCGTATCCTTCCCAAGGTCCGAGTTCTTCCAACAATGAGATGGGCCGAATATAGAACATGTTCAAATAAATGATGGAGAAGAACGCCGACTCCGATGCTCAACTAGCATCTCACAACACTTCAATTCGCAATTTGGAAGTTCAATTGGGACAAATATCGCAAGCTCTGAACACTCGTCCTAAGGGGGCACTACCAAGTGATACGGTGGTTAACCCAAATGATGGGAACAATACGGGACATTCCATGATCGTGACTACAAGGAGTGGAAAAGGTGGGGATGCAACCACCTCAAGTCAAAATAAAATTGTGTATGAGGAACAACTGGTACAAGAAGATGAGATTCCAAGCAATGAAGTGCAAGCAAATGATGAGGTGAGAATCGATATTAAAGACAATGTGGAGGAGACTCAAGACGAAGTGAACCCGTCTAGGAAGCACATAGTTGACATACCGGAACCTGTAGTGCCAAAGGCTAAGGCACCAATGCCCAGGCCTCCTCCTCCATATCCTCAAAGGCTTGCCAAGAAAAATGGTGAGAACCAATTTAAAAAGTTCATTGACATAATGAAGAGTTTGTCTATTAATATGCTGTTGGTCGGGATATGCAAAGTTCAAGAAGGATATGGTGACCAAGAAGAGGTTGATGAATTGTGAGACTGTAAAGATGACACATCAAGTGAGTGCAATTGTGCACTCAATGGCTCCTAAATTGGAAGATCCGGGCGCGTTCACAATCCCATGTACATTGGAAGTACCAACTTTGCCAAAGCTTTATGTGATCTTGGAGAGAGTATCAACTTGATGCCCTATTCGGTTTTCAAAACTTTAGGAATTGGGAAACCAGGACCCACATCCATGAGGTTGCAAATGGTGGATCA